TCGAAGGAGAGCTCGTCGATCCTCCCCTCAAGAAAGATGAACGAGGGTTTTAAGAAGATTCAGCCGGTTATGGCATATACATATTCAAGAAAATGGCAGGGAAGCAATTATTTAAGAATGCATCCATTAACATTGTTAGTGGTGTTTACACGGTTCCATGCACACTATTGCATACTTAATATCAGATTAGTCCAACATCGGTACTTTGTAAGGATGGTTCGGTAGTCAAATGCGTTCTTCAGTCACTTTATTACTTGCAGTCATCCCTCAGGATGAACAGCAGCTCAGGTCATTGTATTTATTAGTTCCTTTACGGAAAAAAAAACATAACTGAATCCTGTCTCACCATATATGAAAGGAATGCTTTTTATAATTCAACTGATGGAATGTACTAACTTGTCACTTATTTAGGAGACCTGGAGTTTACCTGAAGAGAGTTCCGGGGGTCAACGCCCCCGCGGCCTGGTCTGTGACCAGGCCTCATGGTGGATCAGGGCCTGATCAACCAGGTTGTTACTGCTGGCCTCACGAAATCCAACGTACGAGACACAGCCCGGCTGGTCAGGTACCGACTTTAGGTGCCTGTCCAGTGACTGCTTGAAAACAGCCAGGGGTTTATCGGTAATCCCCCTTAAGAGATACATTGTTGATATAAAGGAGGCATATACGGTACATGTTGTTACGTGTGTATCACCGATTATAGGGCGAAAATCTCATCCAGCTCCTCAGAGCTGGGGCGTGTGCCCAAAATACAGCAGGCATTACCCCTTTGAACAGCCGCACTGAGCCGCTGGAACAGAAAACTAGCTGCCCTGGGATCCCTAGTTACCCTGATGAGTCTTTTTCCCAGCTCCTTAAGGAATTTAGATGCATTCTTTCCCCATGAGCCAAGGGTCTCTGAGCCTATGGGAACAAACATATAATGATGGGCAAGTTCTCCATATTTTCTAGACTTTTGGGACTCCCTGAAGCTGGCAGCTGCCCCTCCTTCCTCCCTGGTGTATTGGAGATAGGTATCCGCCAAGGTAGATGCACATGTATAGTCCCACACCACCTGCTTCCCATCTGTCCAGGCTTGAAGGGTGATACCATCTGGACGCTTCTGATTGCCATCAGATCTGCATAGCTGGGGTGGCTCCCTTACTGCTGGGCATCCGGCTGTTGTGAGGCTCCTCTTGATAATGTTATTAACCTCCTCATGTCTTGCAATCTTTCCCTAAAGTTTACGGCACACAAGACCGTGGTACCCGAATCGGTCTGCTGCTTCACTGCCACAAATACACCTGTGTTCGGCGAGAATAGGGGCGGCAAGTCGAAGGGCAACACCGATGCGGATGGCCTGTGGGTCGAGGCGTGTGCCAAGGCTGGAGTTGGGAACAGCCAACAGAAAATCCCCTGCATGATGTGCTCTCACTGCTAGGAGGCGGGCTCTATCCTTCTCTGACACACTCTGTTGAGGGTATATTTTCCACTATTGGACCATCCCAGTGCGATTGTTTGTAGTTGTTGGGGGGAGCAGGTCTGGTTTCAGAGCCTGTTAGATTATCCCAGATCATGGCTCCGTCAATGAACTTTTGGTCCTGTTGAAATTGCAAAAGCCTTTTGTAACTTTGAAAAATTTTCTGATTTATCCTCTGATGAAAATAATATTAGTAAAGGAATGGTATATAGCTCTATGTTAAAACCAAACATTCCCAATTGTCCTCAAACATTCTTTAAGTCTTATGATACACTTAATAACAATTAAAATTTGCGCCTTACTAAAGCAGACAAAATAAATGCAATAGTAATTATGAAAGAAAATGATTACCAAGAAAAAATGAATAATCTCTTAGATGATACTGAAACCTATTCTAAACTTAGGAAAAATCCCCTAGAAACCGTTAACAGCAATTTCAATAAAACAATAAAACTTCTACTGAAAGGCAAAGATGAATTAGTCAAACAATTTACTTCCACTAATCCATCTTTACCTTACATGTATGGACTAATAAAAACACACAAACCAGGGAATCCAGTCAGACCAATTATTAGCTCCATAGGGTCAGTTTCATATAAATTATCCAAATGGCTTGTTGATATTTTGAGCCCTATTGTTGGCAAAATTTCTAACTTTAATGTTAAAAACAACATAGACTTGGTTGATAAATTAAGCTCCTTGACTGACTTAAATTATTTTAACATGGTTAGTTTTGATGTTACTTCCTTGTTTACGAAAGTTCCTGTTGATGATTTATTAAGTTTCTTATCTGAAGAACTCGTTAACTATGATTTACCATTGCCAGTTCCTACCATCATTAAACTTATTAAACTTTGCATTGTTGATGCAAAATTTGTATTTAATGATAAGTTTTACACTCAGAAGTTTGGAATGGCAATGGGAAATCCTCTTTCACCTGTTCTTAGTAACCTATACATGGAATTTTTTGAAACAAGGTTGCTTAACACAATCCTCCCTAATAGAGCTAAATGGTTCAGATATGTTGATGATATTTTGTGTCTTATGCCCAAAAATATAGATATACACCATTTTCTTGGAAAATTAAATAGCTTAGCCCATTCTATAAACTTTACTGTTGAGTTTGAAGAAAATAACTCATTGCCTTTTCTAGATGTTTTAATTATTAAGGGTAATAATGTATTCAAATTTAAAATTTACAGAAAACCTACAAATAACTGTTCCTATGTCCACTATTATTCCTCGCATCAAGCTAGAGTCAAACTGTCTGTTTTCTCATCAATGTTTTTGAGAGCTTTACGAATTTGTAGTCCTGAGTTCATAGATGAGGATATATCCAAAATTTATGAAATAGGTAATGATTTAAAATACCCAAGCAATGTAATTGATAAATCTTTTAAAGTTGCTAGAAATACTTTTTACAATCCAAAAAGGGACAACCAGCCTTATTCAACTAAAAATATGTTGGTTCTCCCTTACCATGAAAACTTGGTTGATATGCCTTCTCTTCTTAAGACTTTTAATATTAAAGTTGTATTCAAAAATCTTGATACAGTAAAAAAAACTTTTGATAAAGAATTCCCCCCAAAATGCTGATGGATGTGTCTATAAGATTCCTTGTAAAATTTGCGATAAAGTTTATTACGGTCAAACTGGTAAAAATCTCGAACTAAGATTAAAACAACATAAATATAGCATTAGAACTGGACAAGATTCCAATGCTCTATTTATTCATGTAAGAGATTTTAACCATCCAATTGATTTTCAAAAAGTTGAGAAAGTAGTATCAAGCAAGTCCATGGTCGACAGGAATATAATTGAATCTTGTTTCATAAAAAGCAGTTTTGACAATAATATGAATATTTCCTTTGGTTTATATAAATTAGATCCATTTATAATTAATAGAATTTGGGAAGAATTTAATAATACACTGGACAAATAATAATTTTTAAATTTTCTTGGGTAGAATAGTTTGTGGGTGAGTTGTGCAAAGGACCTATCCGTTGTGGGATCTGATAGTGAGGTGTTGGCCAGACCCCTTATATAGCTTCCTTGGATGCTTTACTTTCATAGTTCCTTGATAATGTGAGTAGTCACGAAAGCGCTTGGAATTTCTCTATTCTTTCAGAGTGGTTGTTTTGCATATATATATATATATATATATTTATATATATATATATATATATATATATATATATATATATATATATATATATATATATATATATATATATATATATATATATATATATAAATGTTGTGGGGATGTTCTATATACCATGATTCCATGTTATTCCATCTGACAAGTTATCAACAGATGGTGAAATTCCTGCGAAATGCAGATAGCAAGACGTTGTACATAAGTTAGACAGTCCTCGATAACTCACTGACTTTCTTGGGTTATCCTGGGTGGCTAACCCTCCAGGGTTAAAAATCCGAACGAAATCTTATCTTATCTTATCTTGACCCGTGCATCCATGCTCCCTCTCCATAGAAGGCTGGTGACTGCTGGCAGCTTCTACAGCTGGTGACTGCTGGCAGCTTCTACAGCTGGTGACTGCTGACAGCTTCTACAGCTGGTGACTGCTGACAGTTGAGGGACTGGTGGTCTCTAGCACTCTTACATCCTAAATTCTGGCCACTTATAGATCACTGTATTTAGTGTCACCAAGTTCTGTGGTGACATTGTTATTAGCTATGGCAGTGGTTCCCAAACTTTTTCAGCTTGTTACCCAATTTAACATGCCACATAAAGCATGTTACCCCTTTCACAAAATGTTGTTATTATTGATATGTATGGCTAAATTAAAACACTTGAGATATTTTCTTTTATTTATTGTATTTGAACATTGTGCATCTCTAATGACTATTACCAAAGATGTCAAGAACATCAGTGGGATGGATGGAGTTGCATACTTGAAGCTAGTTTAGGAATTCTTGGCTTCATACCAGCTTATGTCTACCTCGGCTGATGGTCACAGATAAACTGACAGTGTGAAATAGAGGCAGCCTCAGGAAGTGAGTGACGCGTACTGGACAGGTCGACCTGGGCTACTGAGTGACTTTTGTCCTGAAGCATACTTGTCAAAATACTTTTGGGTTTCCACACACTTAGCTATATATTTCTTCTTTTCTAATACTGTATATTAGTTTTTGATGTTTATTGTTATTTGGTTTAACTTTATTACTTATAATAGGTTTACTTTACAACTTTATATACTAAGACAAAGTTAACAATAATCCTCATACCGGGTACCGCATTGTTTTCTTGATTTTCAGAATTCATAACTTTTTTTCTGTCACCCCTCCATTACCCCCCAAAAATGGTTAAATTACCCCCAGGGGGTAATTTACCCCCAGTTTGGGAACCACTGAGCTATGGCAACGACTGGAGATACATCTGAGGCCAATAATTTTTCTCGTTTGTATTCATGGTCATGAGCACAACGGTGAGACAGTCATGATGATACGGTCACTCTTCGGAGATCATGTTCAAAGATTTTCTTTTTAAATATGCCCAACTTTGAAAAAGTTAATGAAATAAATGGAAAGATTTATATATTGTGCATCAATCTTTGGTATGCAAAGTCATAGAAAAAACTTTATGAAGATGTAAGGCATATTATGCTACAAAAGTCAAGCTGTGGCACATGTTTATCTGGTTTACGAGGGTGGCCAGGGAACACTGTGTCGTGTTGTTGACCGGCTGGCGGTGGTGCCGTGTGTTGGACTTTAACAATGGGTGAGCTTACGTGAGTATTCCTGAGTCAGTGTCTGGCAGTAAGTGTGACTTCCAGTACATCACACTACCAGAGTGCTTCATCCTCCAGTTGGACCTCCAGTACATCACACCACCAGTGCTTCACACTCCCAGGTTGGATCACACCGATATTATATCATTCAGCAGAAGATAAGAAGAATATAGAAGGTAATTTATGCTTAGTGTTTGTTATTATTTGAGTTTAGTTCGTATCACTTTCCAGTTCAACCAAAATTTGTCTCCAAAATTACCCACCTCTTCTCAGATAACACCAGATTACTGAACAGTCTTCCCATTCTCCAGACACAGTATTGGCTTAACGAATTTCATTCTTCGAAATGTATTTATTAAAAGTATATCAAAATGACTATTAGACCTGCAGAGAATTTACAAGTTTGTCACATAATGTATTCAACATCCATAAATGCTGTGCCAAGAAAAGTAATTTTCAAACGTCTCCTGGAAAGCATTACCTGGATGACGTCTCTTGGAAAGCTTGACCAGGATGACGTCTCCTGGAAAGCTTGGCTTGAATGACGTCTCCTGGAAAGATTGGCCTGCATGAAGTCTCCTGGAAAGCTTCACAGGATGACGTCTCCTGGGAAGCTTCACAGGATGACGTCTCCTGGAAAGCTTGACCTGTATGCCTCCTGGAAAGCTTGACCTAGATGACGTCTCCTGGAAACCTTGACCTGGATGAGATCTCCTGGAAAGCTTGACCTGAATGATGTCCCCTGGAAAGCTTGACCTGGATAACGTCTCCTGGAAATCTCGACCTGGATGACGTCTCCTGGAAAGCTTGATCTAGATGACGTCTCCTGGAAAGATTGACCTGGATGACGTCTCCTGCAAAGCTTGAACTGGATGACGCCTCATGCAAACCATGACCTGTGTGACGTCTCCTGGAAAGCTTCACCTGGATGACGTCTCCTGGGAAGCTTGACCTGGATGACGTCTCCTAGAAAGCTTGACCTGGATGACATCTCCTGGAAAGCCTGACCTGGATAACGTCTCCTGGAAAGCTGGACCTGGATAACGTCTCTTGGAAAGAATGACCTGAATAGCATCTCCTGGAAAGCTTGAATTGGATGACGTCTCCTGGAAAGCTTGACCTGGATGAAGTCTCCTGGAAACCTCGACCTGGACGAGGTCTCCTGGAAAGCTTGACCTGAATGATGTCGCCTGGAAAGCTTGGCCTGGATAACGTCTCCTGGAAATCTTGACTTGGATGACGTCTCCTGCAAAGCTTGATCTGGATGACGTCTACTGGAAAGCTTGACCTAGATGACGTCTCCTGGAAAGCTTGACCTGGATAACTGAACTGTTTTCTCGTAATGTGTCCAAAATAAACCAATTTAAATATTAATTAACGTTACGTCAGTAAATTTGGGATTTTTTATGTACTCACCTATTTGTGGTTGCAGGGGTCGAGTCTTAGCTCCTGGTCCTGTGTGATGGCCTTAATCACAGCAAACTTATGAATTTATTAATATCATTGCTACATTCATCACTATAGTGATCATCACCGTAGTGATCAATACTGTGTGTCATCACAGTTATCAATACTGTGTGTCATTGCAGTGATCAATACTAGGTGTGATCATAGTGATCAATACTGGGTGTCATCATAGTGACCAATAATGGGTGTCATCATAGTGATCAGTACTGGGTGTCATAGTGATCAATACTGGGTGTCACCATAGTGATCAACACTGGGTGTCATCACAGTCATCAATTCTGGGTGTCATCATAGTGATCAAATCTGGGTGTCATCATAGTGATCAATACTGTGTGTTATCATAGTGATCAATACTGCTTTTCATCATAGTGATCACTACTGGGTGTCATCATAGTGATCAATGCTGGTGTTATCATAGTGATCAATACTGGTGTTATCATAATGATCAATACTGGTGTCATCATAGTGATCAATACTGGTGTTATAGTGATCAATACTGGTGCTAGCATAGTGATCAATACTGGTGTCATCATAGTGATCAATACTGGTGTCATCATAGCGATCAATACTGGTGTCATCATAGTGATCAATACTGGGTGTCATTATAGTGATCAGTACTGGGTGTCATCATAGTGATCAATACTGCTTTTCATCATAGTGATCAATACTGTGTGTTATCATAGTGATCAATACTGGTTTTCTTCATAGTGATCACTACTGGGTGTCATCATAGTGATCAATACTGGTGTTATCATAGTGATCAATACTGGTGTTATCATAGTGATCAATACTGGTGTTATCATAGTGATCAATACTGGTGTTATCATAGTGATCAATACTGGTTTTCTTCATAGTGATAACTACTGGGTGTCATCATAGTGATCAATACTGGTGTTATCATAGTGATCAATACTGGTGTCATCATAGTGATCAATATTGGTTTTCTTCATAGTGATAACTACTGGGTGTCATCATTGTGATCAATACTGGTGTTATCATAGTGATCAATACAGGTGTTATCATATTGATCAATACTGGTGTCATCATAGTGATCAATACTGGTGTTTTCATAGTGATCAATACTGGTGTTATCATAGTGATCAACACTAGTGTCATCATAGTGATCAATACTGGTGTCATCATAGTGATCAATACTGGTGTCATCATAGTGATCAATACTGGTGTTATAGTGATCAATACTAGTGTCATCATAGTGATCAATACTGGTGTCATCATAGTGATCAATACTGGTGTTATCATAGTGATCAATACTGGTGTTATCATAGTGATCAATACTGGTGTTATCATAGTGATCAATACTGGTGTTATCATAGTGATCAACACTAGTGTCATCATAGTGATCAATACTGGTGTCATCATAGTGATCAATACTGGTGTCATCATAGTGATCAATACTGGTGTTATAGTGATCAATACTAGTGTCATCATAGTGATCAATACTGGTGTCATCATAGTGATCAATACTGGTGTTATCATAGTGATCAATACTGGTGTTATCATAGTGATCAATACTGGTGTTATCATAGTGATCAATACTGGTGTCATCATAGTGATCAATACTGGTGTCATCATAGTGATCAATACTGGTGTCATCATAGTGATCAATACTGGTGTTATCATAGTGATCAATACTGGTGTCATCATAGTGATCAATACTGGTGTTATCATAGTGATCAATACTGGTGTCATCATAGTGATCAATACTGGTGTCATCATAGTGATCAATACTGGTGTTATCATATTGATCAATACTGGTGTCATCATAGTGATCAATACTGGTGTCATCATAGTGATCAATACTGGTGTTATCATAGTGATCAATACTGGTGTCATCATAATGATCAATACTGGTGTTATCATAGTGATCAATACTGGTATCATCATAGTGATCAATACTGGTGTCATCATAGTGATCAATACTGGTGTTATCATAGTGATCAATACTGGTGTCATCATAGTGATCAATACTGGTGTTATCATAGTGATCAATACTGGTGTCATCATAGTGATCAATACTGTGTTATCATAGTGATTCAATACTGGTATCATCATAGTGATCAATACTGGTGTCATCATAGTGATCAATACTGGTGTTATCATAGTGATCAATACTGGTGTCATCATAGTGATCAATACTGGTGTTATCATAGTGATCAATACTGGTGTCATCATAGTGATCAATACTGGTGTTATCACAGTGATCAATACTGGTGTTATCATTGCGATCAATACTGGTGTCATCATAGTGATCAATACTGGTGTTATCACAGTGATCAATACTGGTGTCATCATAGTGATCAATACTGGTGTCATCATAGTGATCAATACTGGTGTTATCATAGTGATCAATACTGGTGTTATCACAGTGATCATTACTGGTGTTATCATTGTGATCAATACTGGTGTCATCATAGTGATCAATACTGGTGTTATCACAGTGATCAATACTGGTGTCATCATAGTGATCAATACTGGTGTCATCATAGTGATCAATACTGGTGTTATCATAGTGATCAATACTGTCAGTATAGCTACTGAGTTCCCTTATATGTGTACTTGTGTAGTGTATTGTAGATCATATCATCCATACATATATATTTAGGCTTCCTAGTCAGTAGGCTCAGTGACCAGCATGTGTGACGTCACGTGATGCGCATGTGTACTCACCTATTTGTACTCACCTATTTGTGGTTGCAGGGGTCGATTCACAGCTCCTGGCCCCGCCTCTTCGCTGATTAATACTAGGTCCTCTCTCTCCCTGCCCCATGAGCTCTATCATACCTCGCCTTAAAACTATGTATGGTTCCCGCCTCCACTACGTCACTTTCTAGGCTATTCGACGGCCTGACTACTCTATGACTGAAGAAATACTTCCTAACATCCCTTTGATTCATCTGAGTCTTCAACTTCCAATTGTGACCTCTTGTGTCTGTGTCCCGTCTCTGGAACATCCCGTCTTTGTCCACCTTGTCTATTCCGCGCTGTATTTTATATGTCGTTATCATGTCTCCCCTGACCCTCCTGTCCTCCAGTGTCGTCAGGCCGATTTCCCTCAACCTTTCTTCGTAGGACAATCCCCGTAGCTCTGGGACTAGTCTTGTTGCAAACCTTTGCACTTTCTCTAATTTCTTGACGTGCTTGACTGGTGTGGATTCCAAACTGGTGCTGCATACTCCAGTATGGGCCTGACGTACATGGTATACAGAGTCTTGAACGAATCCTTACTGAGGTATCGGAACGCTATCCGTAGGTTTGCCAGGCGCCCGCATGCTGTAGCAGTTATCTGATTGATGTGCGCCTCAGGAGATATGCTCGGTGTTATACTCACCCCCAAATCTTTTTCCTTGAGTGAGGTTTGCAGTCTTTGGCCATCTAAACTATACTGTGTCTGCGGTCTTCTTTGCCCTTCATCATTCTTCATAACTTTGCATTTGGCAGGGTTAAATTCAAGGAGCCAGTTGCTGGACCAGGCTTGTAGCCTGTCCAGGTCTCTTTGTAGTCCTGCCTGATCCTCATCCGATTTGATTCTTCTCATTAACTTCGCATCATCTGCAAACAAGGACACTTCTGAGTCTATCCCTTCCGTTATGTCGTTCACATATACCAAGAACAGCACAGGTCCTAGGACTGACCCCTGTGGAACCCCGCTTGTCACAGGCGCCCACTCTGACACCTCGTCGCGTGAGAA